GCGGCGAAGCCGCCGCGAGCACTCGAAACGAGCCTCGCCGCCCGTCGCTCTGGACGCCGGAAGGAGGAACAGGCGCTTCCGGCTCCGAGGACCCCGGGGCGCTCGCGTTGGTGCCTGCGCGGCGGAGTGCGCTAACACGCATGCACGCACGCACGCACGCACAGCCTGCGACCCCAGCGAGCGCAGCGGAGCGTCGGGCGCTAGGGATCTTTGCAGGCAAGAACAAAGGTAGAAGGCCAGTGCATACTGAGCTTTGTCTTGCAGTTGATTCCAGCGGTCTGTGACGTGTACTTTCCTTGCAAGTCCAGTCCTGATCGAGTTGGGCACAGTAATTCACTTATAAAAGGATGTTGCGGGCTGGGGTTGTGGCTCAGTGGTGGAGTGCTCACCTAGCATGCATGAGGCACTGGGTTCAATCCTCAGCGCCATATAGAAATAAAATAAAGATATTGTGTCCACCTAGAACTAGAAAATAAATATTAAAAATAATATATGTTGCAATAGGTGTCATGAGATGTTCGAGAAAAATAGGGCAACTCCGTAGAACATGCATGGAACATCCGCCTCTCCAATGGCCGGCTCTGACTAGCGCCTAGGTTTGCAATCTGATTTTACAGCCCTTTCAGTGCATTGGACCAGAGAAGGTAATAGGTAACACCAGGTGCCAGGTCCCCAGGCTCGTGGCCGGGTCTGAGGCATAGCAGTCTACAGAGGACTGTCCCAGCACCCTATGAGCCAGGCCGAGGCACCGTGGAGACCTGCACTCACAGGACCCAACGTCATCGCCTACGTTAAGTGCTGAGGAACCTGGAGCCCCCCAAGACTGGAAGTCAGACCTGGCTAACATGTGCATCTGCTCCGACTGGGGTGGAGCAAGAGGTGTGGAGGTGGAGTGAATGATTTGACTCAGGATTGCACACAAGAGACACACAAAACGCAATTTTTGTTATATCCCGCATACACACATTTTCGTTCTCATTCCCTAAAGCTGATAGAAAACCTCAATTACTGAAGGAGGTTATGTCCTGAGCCTCAGCCCTGTGGAACAAAAAACTTGCAGAGCCTGAGGGATTCTCATTGGTAGAGAGCTAGCTTAGCATGCACAATGCTTTGGGTTCAATCCCCAGCACCCCTCCTTCCAAGGAAAAGAGAAATCAGACTTGTAAAAAGCCACACAGCTGACAATGAGAGGCCTCCTGAAAATGAGATTAGGTGGCCACATTATGACTCCTGAATAAACACAAAACAGGTACTACTCCCCCCCTCAGTCTTGTGTGAAGTAAATGCAATGTCAGTGTTGACAGCTACTGTGAGATATACAAAAGCAAAACTCTAATGAAAAACATTTACATTTACACTTTAGAAATGTTTTCAGACTGAAAGTTACCTCAACAAGGTTCTAAGTGGACTCTGTTGTGAAATAACCTTAGTGGATCATAACCAGTATTTTTAAATAGATTTTAAAAATTAGCATGTCAGTTAAATATACTCATGTTTATACTTGTCACTATGTAAAATTAAAGGTAATTTTAGTCACAAAAACAGGAGACCACTGATCTCCATCCAATCAAAATATTTAGGTACAGAGATTGCTGAGGGTCAGAGTTAATGAGCTAGATCAAAAACCCACTGAAGCGGAGAAAGGTGGTGCATGCCTTTAATTCCAGCAACTCAGGAACTGAGGTAGGAGGATTCCAGTCTCAGCAACTTAGCAAGGCACTAAGTAACTCAGTGAAACCCTAATAAAATACAAAAAAGGGCTGGGGATGTGGCTCAGTACCAAAAACCAACCAAACAACAACAAAAAACACAACCACTCCAGGGCTCTGTACATGAAAGCTGGAAACAAACTATGCAAGCTATGTTCAGAGCACTAAGTTCCATCTGATCCCAGTGAGAAAGTACTTGGGTAAGTGAAGTAAAAGCATTCCTTTATATTCTCATTATAAGTGAGAATTCTTTAACCTAGCATTTTAAGCCCAGGATCATTACTAGGAAATACATTCACAAGGCAGAGTTGGGGGGGAAGAGGGTGAGTAAAAACAAGAATAATGATCATGATCAATAAAGACAACCAATAATCTTTATTTACAATCATGAAAAGTTTAGCAACTGTTGACCACCCATATATAACTCTTGTGGCTAAAAATTTAATCACATATAGCACAATACCAGAATTTTTTTCAGGTAACAAAGAATTACACAAAATATCTGGGGATTTTTCTACAAAATACATTATGTTTTAAACTATATAGTAACACATGCATATTCCACCTAGAGAAAGTACAAATTTCAATTAAACAGTAACAAACATGAAGTAAAATTTTAATGTTACTGTTGTGTTTTCAAAAACTACCAATTCATAGGTCACAAGTGTATGCAAAGGCATTACATATGGCCATAAAAATCTATAGTCTACAGATGTTGCATTTTTATTTTACTAGAAATATGTGCAAAATGCTCAACAATGATTGGTTAATAAATACTTACTGAACCCTACTTACAAAAAAATCAAATTTCTAAATGCCATAAGGGATACCAAATATAAAATGTGCAGTCCCTGGATACAGGAAAATGAAGCTCTATCAACTCTCTACATAGCTATTTTAAAGATCCACTAGGTCTTCCGTGTGTTACTTCCCAGACAGGATTTTCAAATCAGCTGTAACTCACTTTCCCTTGACTGCACCCCTTGTTCACTGCAGGTTCTGCCTGTCAGAGATCAGCCACCTCCTATATACCACTCAGCTTGATAAGATAACTGAGAGGATACCAGCTTGCCATTAGGTGAATGCAGTGCTATTCTTTTCCCTTGTTGACCTTTCTTTATACTTTGTGCCTTACTGTATTTTATTAGAAAACTATCTTAAAAATAATTTTTTTTTCTGGAAAGACCATTTTATTCTACACAGTGACACTATTTAAGGAACACAAATTTTCCAAGAACATTTTTCAAATTAAAATAAAAAGTGGAAACTGATGACCAATTTGCCAAGGATTTCAATAACCAATCTAATCACTGGTTACACGTAAGAAATGAAAGCCACATTTCATTTTATATTCTTGTTGGTTAGTTATTACTGGGTTAGTGGAATGAGATAAGAATACAGAAGTACACTTGTCTCAAGTGCAAGGAAAGAAAAATGAGTAGATATTCTACAACAATTTTTGAATCTTTCTCAGGGTTTATGACTAGACTTGGGATTAGCATTCCCACTTTGAGGCTACTAGACGTGGTCTAAGTGCAATCAGTATTAAGTTTGCTTTTAAGTTTACTTACTTTTCAACTTAGTCTCATCCCAAGTAATAATATTCTTGCAATCACCATCTGAAGTATAAAAATGTGTATTTCTAATATAAACTAATAAATAATCATCAAAATCTTAACATTCATCTTAGGTCCAAAGTCATCTCTTGTACCTTCAGTAGTGACACATAATCCATGGTAACTTGTTTGCCTGCATCTAAAAACAAATGCTGCAAAGGTAGCATTATGATGTAAACCAACTAAGGCTGTGGAAGTCTTCATATTTCACACGTAGGATCCATAAACAAACTGACTCAACTCCTGGGTTCATCCACTTAAATCAGCAGTCCTCTACAGGAAGGAGAGCATAGGCTTCTGATGGTTACTTCTGTTTTCTCTGTTTCTTAGCCTGTCTACTTTTCTTCTGTCCTTTCTTTTTCTTTTTAATCAGAACAGCCTTTTCCCCAATAAATACACGTTTCGAATGTCCTGCATCTTTGGAAGCAGAATTAAGACTCTGCTTAAATTTAATGACTTTTTTCAAACCTGGATTTGAATTTTGCTGTTTTAATTTTTCCTTATTCACAGAACGCATGACTCTCAGTTTTCTTCCCATTAGCTCAGAATTATTTAATTTCAGAGCAAGATGAACAGCATCTGTGTCCTGCAATTTAAAAAAAAATCCAATACGTTAACTTCCAACAGAAATGCACCTGCAAAGGGACTAATAAAACATCCACAATACTGAACTGCATTGATCATCAAGCTTGCACAGGAGCCCTACTCTAGAAGCCCAATCTCGTGTGTGCTGCTGTGCTCCTCCTGGCTAAGCTCCACACAGCCCTAGGGGCCCTCAAGCTGCCTTGGCAAATCCTAGGTGAGTCATGGTCAGGCCTCATTGCTCCATCGTAAGGGATCTCAACTAACATACATACACCAATAAACCTTCTCCCAAGGCACCTTTCTGTAAAAGTCCTACTGTATGGTGAGAGCAGGGAATTCTCCATTACAGTCCTGAAGATATGGGATTAGACATTCTAGAGTTCCACACAGCTCCAAAATCCTATTATTATTTTACTTTAATAAAGAACTATTTTTTTTAAAGAGAGAGTGGGGGGGGGGAGAGAGAGAGAGAGAATTTTTAATATTTATTTTTTTTTAGTTCTCGGACACAACATCTTTGTTGGTATGTGGTGCTGAGGATGGAACCCGGGCCGCACGCATGCCAGACGAGCGCGCTACCGTTTGAGCCACATCCCCAGCCCCCAATAAAGAACTATTAATGCTAATTAACCTGAATGTTTGTTAAAGAGACTCTACAAGCTTACCAAGTGAAAAAGACAAATCAGGGAAGCAGTAAGATCTCTAGAATATACAACATAGGGCAAGCAACTAAAAAGTAGTGATACTTATCAAGTCTTTAAAATGGTGATATACTCTGACCTACATATATCCCAGTGGGGTGCTTCCTAAAGAAGTAATCCAAAATGCAAGGAAACACATAACCACTATAATTCCATTATTTTAATGAAGAACAGAGAACACTGATAACATTAGGGAAACACTATAGATCATGTTACATCACTTACTGAAACATGCTTACATGACAGAAAATAAAGCAGGGTTGCAAAGCTTTATGTTTGCAGATGAAGGAAAAAACTAAAATGAACTATATAAAGGGGTTACTGCTGGGTAAGAAAAAATTAAGTGCTATGTAAATACATTCTTTTACTACTTAAAGCTGGGCATGAAACACTGGCTAATAATTAGTGAATGAAATTTAATCTTGTGCAAAGACTAAAATTCTCTTCAGATTTAAGTAAATTATTTTTTTCCATTTTATACAAGGTGGAGATTCAGATATTTAATCCCAGTAATA